TCCAAGTCACTGTCATCCCTGTCTTCTCCCCAAGCTGCGATCATGGCCTTCTTCTTATCATTCTTGAATTGTTTTTTGAGCTCTGGACATTCCGATTTGTAGTGTCCTGGCCTGTTACATTCATAGCAAGTAACTTTAGATTTTTTGTGACTTTCTCCTTTTTGAAGATCTTTGTTGAAGTCTTTTCTGAAGAACTTTCTTACACCTTGTTTCTTATTTACAAACCTTTTGAATCTTTTGGTAATGAAAGCCATTTCCTCATCTTCCTTTTCCTCTGAAGCATTTTCTTCTTCCTCTTGAAACTTTGAGGTAGAGTTGAATGCTATCCCTTTCTTCTTATTTTTGTCTTCTTCTTCTTTTCCTTCTTGCATGATGATTTCATGGATTAGGAGAGATCTCATTAGCTCATCAAGACTCAATGTTGACAAGTCTCTTGCTTCTATCACTGCAATATCTTTGTTCTTCCAACTTTTTGGCAATGATCGGAGAACTTTTTTGATAATCTCTGCATTAGTATAATTCTTTCCAAGAGATTTAAGGCTATTTATAATGTCTGTAAATCGAGTGAACATTTAGGATATATTCTCATTGGGTTTCATCTTAAAGAGCTCGTAATTGTGAACAGGCAAGCTCACTTTAGACTCTTTGACTTGAGTAGTTCCCTCATGAGTTACAACAAGTTTATCCCAAATTTGTTTTGCAATTGTACAAGTACATATGCTATTAAACTCAGTAGCATCAAGTGCACAATATAACATGTTAACAGCTTTGGCATTGGATTGAATATCTTTGTAATCAGCACTAGTCCACTCACTTTCAAGTTTGGGGACTAACATACCATCTATGGTTTTAGTGGGGACTTTAGGACCATCACATATGATTTTCCAAACCTCATAGTCGATAGATTGAATATGCATAATCATGCGGGTTTTTCAATAGTTGAAATTTGTGCCATTGAAGAAAGGTAGTCTGTTTGAGGTTTGACTTTCAAGAAGAGAGGAGCTAGGGGTTGTCATAGATCACTCTAAGACGGTTAAGTCACAATAGTAAAAACGAGGCTCTGACACCAATTGTTATTTAGGTAGGCAACCCAAGAGGGGGGTGAATTGGGTAATTTAAAATTTTGGTCCAAAAATAAATTAGTAAAGACTAAGTGATTAAAAAAGATGATAATAAATGGATGCATAGAAAATTAAAGAAAAGAAAATAAGAGCTTGACACAAGGATTTATAATGGTTCGGCTCACTAGCCTACATCCACTCTTCAAGACACCTTTTTGAGAATTTCTTCACTATGAATAGATGCACCGCCAAGTTTCACCTACCTTGTAGATTTTACAAGGACTTACTTCAATCTGTTAAGGACCTCTAAACTAAATGTCTCACCTTGCAGATGTGTCACTCAGAAAATAAGGAGCAAGAATAAGAGGTACAACTGTCTTCTTTTACAAATATTCTCTCACAAGAGATGGATATGAGAGTGTAAGCTCTCGAGTAATTTAAGTCTCACTCAAATATGAAAGTGGAAGTACAAATAGAGTATAATAAAAGCTCTTGATTGCTCTTGAATGCACTAGGCTTGTTATGTTCAAGGAGTGCATTGAATGAACAGGAAGAGCTTCATCTTTATAGCATTAATGGCTTCACCGTTGGAGAAAGAGAGGTTTTGAAATTCCTAGCCATTGAAGAAGATCGAGCATGATATATTCCAGCTGTTGTTTGATTAGAGATGGTGAGTTGTAGACTGTAGACAGATCTTGGGAAGAGAAAGATCATTAAATACACATGTTTTTTATTTAATGCTCTTCTTCATAGGTCAACTTTTTGGAGATGATATGGTTTCAAAAGATCTGTTCAGAGGTCAAAAAAGATGACATATTTTGTAACCTGATCTGAAAAAATGGCTGAGAAATGTTTTGTAGCAGTCTAGATCTATTTTGACAGCTAGAATTTTTTAAACCCAGATTTCGCAAGTGTCGACCCCTGCAACTTGGGTGTCGACCCTTTACTTTCTTTTCTCCTCTGAGTTGAGTTCCAGGTGATCTAGGTGTCGACCCTCATCATTCTTGGTGTCGACCCTTGTTGCTGGATTGCATTCTGAAATTTGGTGTCAACCCTTGCTACTAAATAGCCTTCTGAATTTTAGTGTCGACCCTTGTTGTTTTTGGTGTCGACCCTTGCTGCTAGATAGCATTCTAAATTTTGGTGTCGACTCTTGCTGTCTTGGTGTCGACTCTTGCAGCTAGAACACTTAGGCATTTTGAGCTTTTCTTTGGTGTCGACCCTTGGGCCTATTCTAAATATGGATAGAGTTTTGCAGCAAGTTTTGATGCTTATGTTTTGAGGGCCCAAAAACAATTAAAAATAATATTTTAGAATCATATAGCTTCTATAGCTATGAAACACAATTTTTATTTTAAAAACTTTAAGTAACAAGGTAAGTTCAAAATATTTGTTCATATTCAAAATCAATGGAATTTTAAGGATGAATGACCTTGGGGCTAACAGGTGTAATATTAGTTTTGTCACGGACTACTAGATTTGTTATGTTCATCAAAAACAAAGAATTTAAAGTGTTGACATCACAGTTTTTTTTAGTCCCAGGATAGTTCTTGAATAAAATTCTTATCAATTGGTATGGTTCTTGAAGCATTTTTATTTATTTAACAATTAAAATATTAGTATGTTTCAAGACTACAAAGCACTTGATGCTTCATAATATTAGAATTGTTGTTAAAATTTTATTTGATGTTACCGGTAGGCTATGTTTCTATTGTTGTGCTTCTAATTATGTCGAAAGCTCCCCATGTTTGAATAATTGAATGAAACATTGTGATCTTTTCTTAATTCCGACATTGATGCATACTTCGGAATTTAGTAATAAGTGTAATATCAGTTTTGCCATGGACTACTAGATTTGTTATGTTCATCAAAAACAAAGAATTTAAATTTGTTTCTGCAAGCAGAATTTTTTTTTTTTTTTTGCATATTCCAGATTTTTCTTCCAATGAAAAGCTAGATAAGTAAATATTGACCCAAGGGCACCACAAGATGGTGACTTTGATGGCCATGGATCTCATGGATTTTGTTTATTAGTTTAAATGTGTTCATAATTTCTAAGCTTTTTTCTTTTAATGAGATTAAGTGAGAAACAGGGGATAATGTACTATTAATGATTGTGTAAGATCTTAGATTTTAAAGATTCAAGTAGTCTCATCACTGTCTAATGAAATCATGCATGATGTTGTCAATAATTTTGTTCAATTAACTTTTACTTCAATGCCTATTTATTTATTTAACATGCTTATTTCAATTAACTTTTCTTATGTGGCTTTATGTGGACAAACTGTAAACGTTCTTCAGATCAAGGAAGGCAAAGGAATTGAACCAATCTTTTATAATACTAACTCACAGATTGTAGTGATGGATGCATTTAGTTCTATGATACTCTATTACAACTGAAGGCAATTTTTTTTTGAAGGAAATAAACCGGTTATCTACATTGCACTTTCATATTTATGAAGGTGAGGAACCTTGATTAAGTGTCCTATCTTTTTAGTTTTAATACAATAGTTTGTCTTGCCTTTTAGCTTTTGTCGGCAATAGTCAGTTTGGATTGTTTGGATTTTCTCAAGTGTTACATTTTTTTAATGGTAATTTTTTTAAAATGGTTTTGTTTTTAGCCTTCTATGAGAAATCATGTATTTTGATCACGAAAAAATTGTTCAAGTGTGAATGTAATAATTGCTGGTATTTAGTTTGATAATTGCAAATAAATTGGGGAAGACACTGGTTCTTTTATCAAGAAGAGTTATATTAAAAAAAATTTATGTTCAATTTCTCTGGATAGTTTTCCTAGTAAATTGGGGAAGACACTAATAAATTAGTTTTCCTGTTATGATTTCTTTTAGCTGATTTTTTTAAGTCGAACTCAAGTGTTGGAGTGATTTTGTTACATGTGACTGATCAGCATTAGAAATGTTGTGGTTGTGTTGCTTTTTTCTATGTGTATTAATGATTGGTCTTTCATTCTTGACTAGATGATTAGTTTTTGTTTTTTAATAAGCTATAATAATTATTTTTTTGTACCAAAATGTTCATTCACCATTCCTCTTATGCGTGAAGTATGTCATTTTGAATTGATTTGTAATAATTGAGTTCTATAGTGCAGTGAAATTGTTGTCATCCTGAATTGATTTATTTTAATTGAGGTTCGTAGAGTGTGAGATACCAAAAAAATTGTTGAGAGTCCTTTAGGCACGAGTCATAAATTTTTATTTTTTTTACTTTACATTTTACTCTTTTGATTTGCAATATTACTAAACATTATAAATTTTATATATTTATTCCTTAATTTGCATTAACGTTAGGGGAGTAGTTATTTTAATTGAGTTCTATAGAGCGCATCGTATATGCAAAACTGTTGAAAATTCTTTAAGAAGAATCAAAAAATACTATAGACTTCACAAATTTTAATATGATACGTATAAATTATAATTATATTTTGACCACAATATTATTTACACTATACCTTTAGACACGGGCATACACTAGTATATATATATATATATAGAAGGTGAAACGTTAAGTGTAAAAAAAATTAAAAGCAAAAAAATAAAATAAAAATAGAAGACATGTTTTTTGGAAACATGCTTTCTTTTATTTTTGAGTAAATTTTTTTATTACAGTATTAATTTTAAAAAAAGACTGCTACTACCAAAATGTCTTTATTTATGTATTTTTTTCTAGGCTACTTTGTTTGGGAAGACTAAACAAGTCCATACTTTTTATCTTTTTATCTTTTTTGAGTCACATCAATCAATATTTTTTCTCTTATTTTTTACACATCCTTTTATAAAAATTTAAAAAATATACTTATTTAGAACATCTCGAACAACCCTCAGTGTGGATGTCCATGTAAATAGTAATTCCTAAAAGATTTAAAAATTTAAAAAGATTTTACAAAATTTATAAATCGGGTGCGTGGCACGTGCAGTTGGGTTATTAGAGAAATGCTAATGAACCTGAACCGTTACAAATGTCGTCTCCCCCAAAACCCTAAACCCTAACCGTAGCAGGCTCTCTATGGACCGATCACTGAACCTGCTGGACGAAGCCCTAGGTCTCGACAATGGCGATTCCAACCCTTCCGAGACTCGACTCCTCCTCCTCATAGAGGACTGCGTTGAGACCAGCGCCTATTTCGTCCTTCACCACCTCATCAAGCGCTCTCTCTCTCCTCATTCCTCCGCCCTCGTCGTCTTCGTTGCCTTCGCCCAACCTTTCTCTCATTACGACCGAATCCTCCGAAAAATGGTGCTCTCTTTAACTCCCAATTTACCGTTTTGATTTCTTGAACAAATGTTGTGTTTGTGTGGATGTTTTGTTGGGTTCGCGTAAATTGAGTTAATTTATTGAAGAATTCGGATTTTGTAAATGCGTTAATTCAAAAAAATTATGGGTAATTTATGTTTTTCCAAAAATTGGGGAAATATAAATTTTTATAACGAGAGTTACCGGATTTTTTTTTATTTGTTTCATTTTCTGCAACCAAATAAATCTATTTATATATATATATATATATATTATTGTTTGTGTTTTTTTAATCTTGGTTTAAATTATTGTAAATGTGAGTAGTAGTGTTGAGTGATATTAACTGTTTGGTTGAGAAATAGGATATACTTTCTTTGGTGTTGGAAACTTTCCGGGAAAAAAAAAATGATACTTTCCGAGTTGGAGTGGTTTATGGCTACATGCATATGATCACTATGTTTAGCCATGTGGGGTTCTTATTGGAGTCGATGATGTTGAAGTTGGTGGTTGGGAATTTTTTGTTTTCAATAATGCCTCATATGGAGACATTTGGAGGCAAGGATGAGCCAGGGAATATTTGGGTTAGGATTTGTATGATTATCTCACACTGATGTTGGTGAACTGTTGGATTTAGAGACTGGAAAATAAGAGATATGCCGTTAGAAAAATGGAGATGACAATTGATTTTAGATAATATATTTTGTTATTTTAATGGTACTTTGGTGGTCAGTGGATCGTATGTATGCAAGCAAAATGATCAATGATCTTAATTCTGTGAGATTAGTGATGTCGAAATTCCATTAGGCACTCAATTATATGTTGCGCAATAAAGGCAATTTATGGACAGATGCTTCACTGATTGCAAATATTTGTATATGTGTTTATAGTTTATATGGATAACTCTGCCCCTGCACTTGTTTCAAACCTTTTAATCGTATTGGCATATCTTGTGGGATTCTTATAATCTTATAGTTGAATAGGATAATGCTGCTCTCCATCTGCTATATGGTAAAATGGTTCATCTACACTTCGACTAGCACTATCAAAGTGAAACCTAAAAACTTGGCAATATGTAGATATTTAATCTTTTTAGCATTTTTCACTTTGGTACTGATCTTTCCACTTTTGTAATTGCTAATCTCTAGTGTAGCTGACTAGTTGAGTAAAGCTTCTGGTGTATCTGTAGCTTCAGTTGATATGAAACTAATTTTCATTTTATATCAAAGTTGTTCAATTATAATGCATTAAGTTGTGTGTGCTTGAGTGTGTGACACCAAGAAAAAATTGCCAGCATTCCTATTAAATAATAAATGTTTCAATTAAGATCTCAAAAACATTAAACGTTCGAAATATGTTGTGGATTATTTTGATAACCTTGATTGGCCTCCACAGCAATTAATATACATTAATGTCCTACAGTCGCCTGATCTTTGATTAATGTTGTGGTCTTCAAATTTTCATAGTAAGTTTTGTGAAATTAATGATACATTTCAGTTAATATATGCAAAAATATATTTCTGTGATTCTAATATCTGAAGTTGTTGACATGACAGGGTTGCAACTTAGTTGTACAAAGGGATAACAAAAGATTCCTTTTCCTTGATATGCTTACATTGGAATGTCCAGGTGAGCCTCAGGTAAAAATGGTTCCTTCTAAACCTTATCCCACTTTTTTTTATCTGTCCGGACTCTGATAGACTTAATTACTTGACTATTTGGAAAATTAACTCAAGTGGAGAATCAGTGGGCATTACAAAGTGCCTATCTTAGCTCAGGATGTGTATTTCAAACAGTGTTTAATGTATTAAGTTGTGTGTGCTTGAGTGTGTGACACCAAGAAAAAATTGCCCGCATTCCTATTAAATAATAAATGTTTCAATTAAGATCTCAAAAACATTAAATGTTTGAAATATGTTGTGGATTATTTTGATAACCTTGAGTGGCCTCCACAGCAATTAATATGCATTAATGTCCTACAGTCGCTTCATCTTTGATTAATGTTGTGGTCTTCAAATTTTCATAGTAAGTTTTGTGAAATTAATGATACATTTCAGTTAATATATGCAAAAAAATATGTCTGTGATTCTAATATCTGAAGTTGTTGACGTGACAGGGTTGCAACTTAGTTGTACAAAGGGATAACAAAAGATTCCTTTTCCTTGATATGCTTACATTGGAATGTCCAGGTGAGCCTCAGGTAAAAATGGTTCCTTCTAAACCTTATCCCACTTTTTTTTATCTGTCCGGACTCTGATAGACTTAATTACTTGACTATTTGGAAAATTAACTCAAGTGGAGAATCAGTGGGCATTACAAAGTGCCTATCTTAGCTCAGGATGTGTATTTCAAACAGTGTTTCAGGCTCCAACACCACAGTGTCTACCTTTGTGTTTTTCTGTTAGACAATTTGCAAATTCTGCATTGTGTTTTCAGCTATGGATTGTTGGGACAAATAGAGGCATCCAATTTCACATAGTTTATTTTCTTGAACTTGTTGAAGATAAAGTAGTTTCTTAAAAGGAAAAATTCCAATTGACCATATGATGAAAATATGCGAAGAAACTATTTGAGCGATCAATTTAATATCCAAAATCCAACTTTTCTTGATTCACTGTCAGATGGAGATGGTGAAAAAACTTGCAAAGGTGGACTTCTTGATTTGTATGGAAAAATCCAGAAAGCTGTGGAGGTTAGTGTCTTAACTGGAGGAACCAGGAGCATCACTATTATGATTGATGATATCTCTCTTATGGAGGTTGCTGCTAATGGCTCTTCAAATCATGTCTTAGACTTTCTGCATTACTGCCAAACCTTAACAACTGAATTTGTAAGACAGTGTTACCTATTAACTTTTCCTTTTTTTTATTTGCCGTCTTCCTTTTTGCACATCCAGTTGTTTCATTTGTTGCACTACTTGAAATTTTACTTATTTCTTCTTATAGGGTTGTTCACTAGTTTTTCTTAATCACAAAGATATATATTCAAGCATGGAGAGACCAACCCTTATTTTACAAATGGAGTACCTTGCAGAAGTTATCATAAGGGCAGAACCTTTGGCCACTGGTTTGGCAGCTGATGTGCACGGACAGGTATCATTGTATTGTAGTGATTTCTGAATTGCATTGTTTTTGTGGTATATGCAACTAATCTTATTTTACTACTTCATAGAGTCAAAGAAACAGCAATAATGTTAAAATGGGCAAAAGTAATATTTATATTTTTAACTTGTAAACATCTAATCACTTGGCTATATTGCACTGAGAAGGACATGGCTTGACACAATATGGACTCAACAGCACAATGAATTGTAAAATTTCAGGATTAACACGGTGTTGACAAAACTTTTGATGAATATTTATACACCTTTAGTGGTTGTAAATGTGAAATAACATCTATATTTGTGCCGGCTTTGGAATCGTACTCTCCATTTTATTTATTGTATGGAACAATGAAGCATAATGCAGATCATGAGTCATAAACTGACCCCATTTGTTTTGTATGTCGTACTGCTTATGTTGTCATTTTGTTAATTTTTTTTACATCTAGATCATTTCCCGTAAGGCACCCAAGTCTCATTTACTTTTAAGTACATGTTAGCATAGCTTCTAAGGTGATTTCTTTTTTTGTTTTTGTTTTTTTCTTGTAATGTCTAAGGTGATGTTTGGGTGTCAAATTATTTGGATTCAGATCAGTTTTCTTGTTGAAGCACACGTATGTTGTGATAAATGCTGTATGAAATTACATTTTCCAGAGTTTTTATCTCACTTTGTTTTTTTAACTTTAGAGAACCACATAAACCCCTTTCTGGTTTATTGTGAGAAGTTTCAAGAACTCAATATAGTTTAGTGGTTCTTTCTTTTTTGGGGTAAAGTTAGTGGTTCTTAGTTACCTGTCAAATATGCTTTTCGTTGATTAATATTACCAGAGAAGACATTCCAGAAGAGCATTTCGACAAATAATGAAATTTGTCTCATGTTTTGTGCTAAGATAGTATACATTCTTAAAATTAGTGTTACTTTTTCTTCAAGTGGTTGTCTCATGGTGATTTTTTATTTTTTCCTCTCGTTGTGATAATAATCAGTTGACAGTAATGAACAAGGGGATTTGTGATGGGCCACGAACCCTACAGACGAAGATGTGTAATTTTCACTTCAGGATCAAGGAAAATTGTGTCGAATACTTCTATCCGGGGAGTCGGACATGAAGAGATATGCAACCAGATATTCTGGCAAATCTGCTCCTCCCCTTATTGTTTTAGAGTGTTAAAAATGTTATGAATGTAAACTGTAGTTGATTATCAGAAGCTTCCTATGCTGAAATGAGAAGGAAAAAAGGAATGTATTAATTTTAAGAGCAAAATGGTCTTGGGTCAAATTTGTGGCTGCTTTTAGATGTTGGTTCGACACAAATCACCTTTTCGTGTACTCTGATTATTTGCTTTTATGAACATTGTGGTCTTTCAAATGGGTTGGGGAATTTCAAGGGCTTATCTTTATTTATAATCTTTTGGTTTGCATGGCTTATCTGTGTTTTTTTTGGGTGATTCTAAAATACACTCACAAAAGAAACTCAAATTTAAACTTGAAAGAAACTTACATGTAAATAAAACCGACAACTAAAAAGGCAAACTTCCACACGACAGAAACTGATAAAGAAAATAAATAAATAAGGGAAAGCAAATAAGGCAAAAAAGTCAATTCCTTTTTCTTGACATAATTGTGTAAAAGTTCAACTTGAGGAGGATATAAAGTATTAAGTCTCGTAGATATTTTTTATTAGTAAGAGGTTCACATTTTAAAAAAATACTTTGGTGGAAAATCATTTTATTTGTTTTGAAAAATATTTGTTTCTAATTTTACCTCTTTAAGTTTTTTGTTGACTTTTTTTTCCTTTAATTTTTTGATCTTTTCAATTCAAATTTTCCTTATTTATTCAAATATCTGTCCAAATAAAATCTATCTGTATCTATTCAAAAAAAGTTATTTGTTGAAAATATCTATTAAAATTATCTATCTGTTGAAATTACTAATATTT